CACTCCCCAGCCGCCCAAGCACTGCAAGGCGGGCTAAAGGAAGACTTTGGAAGCCTTTCTGGGTTTTGGGTTCAGGGTTTAGGGTTTAGGGTGCAGGGTGGAAGCGTAGAAGATCCTGGTGAACTTGTGCTTGTCTAGCTCCGAAGAGCCCATCCCACGTGAAGATATCATTGTGCCCCTCCCTGAGTTCCGTAGGTTTTCTTCATCACCTCTTTGTTTTTCATGCGAACGCGGTGTAAAGTGACCAAGAGTCGCTACATGAAAACATACCAACAGGAACACATACCGCAAGCGACAATTCAGAAGCTTTCTTAGAAGCCCCAAACCCTCAACCCTAACCCCCAAACCCCAAACCCCAAGCCCCAAGCCCAAACCATGCGCCGCCAAACACAATCCTTAGCTTGCAGCTCTTGGCTTTGGTGGCTTCCTGCGGCCAGGTGGCAGCTACATTTAAGGGTTTAGGGGTTTAGGGTTTCAGGGGCTTGTGCCCTAAACCCAAACAGGAACCAAAACAGGCGAGCCGTAAAGGAGCCTAATCCCCTAAGCTGAAGGTTGAAAAGACCACCACGACCCGAGACTGGGTCAAGGGGAAGCACCCACCTCAGCCGCCCAAATTATTCTCAATCAAGGCCCCCAAAGCCCTATCCGCCCCTACCGTAAACCCTAAACCTCAAACCTTAAACCCCCCCCTTAATCCTAAACCCTAAACCTTACACCCCACTGTAAGCTCTCAGCCCTGAGCCCCAAACCCCCCCCCGCCCCGGCGAACCTAGGAGGGCCACACACAAGGTCTACATACGGCCATCCCTTCAACCATAAACAAGGTTAGGGTTCAGGGTTTACGGTTCAGGGTTGAGGGTTTAGGGTTTAGGGCCATAACCCTATGGTTCTTAGTAGAGAATGGGGGAATTAGGCACCCTACATACTCACCCTACATACTCCCTCAAGGTATAAGTAGGGGTATTGGTACCTCATTCCCTCATTCCCTGCTAAGAACCAGCAAACCAGGTGACAAGCCTCACTGAGTTCTCAGGGCTAAAGCCCAACAAACCCTAAACCCTAAACCCCCTCCCTAAACCACTTGAGACGCGCAGACCCGGAAGCCGACCTGCCTCCGCGCCGCACGCCGCGGGCGCCGCGGGCGCCGCGCAGGGGATCTTTCGGCACTGGTCAGGCAGGGCTCAGGGTTCTTATTGGGTGTTTCTATTCGGGTGCTATCTACGTTTATTGTTCATTAAAAAGGGTTCTTATCGGTTGTATATACGGTGTCAGATAAGGTCATTTCTATGGTTGTATACAGGGTTGTATAGGGGGTTTAGCAGGGATTTTTCTAGGGTTTGTATATGGTTCTGGAGAACCTCACTGCTTGTGTTCGCATGGCCGGAAGTAAGTGGCACCCAATACGACTTGACCAAAGCACAGAAGATCGCACAGGCCGAACTCCGCACCACAACCCTTGCAACTGCCACCATAACCTCAGCCATGCGTCCCAAACCCTCAGACCTCAATCTCCAGGGCATGAACTCCTATCAATGTCCAGGGCCCTGAACACGGAAATGAATGGCACAAACTATAGGGTCCTTAGGGGAGGTGGGGGGGGTTCATAAGGGGTAGGTACCTAGGCTTAGGGAGCCTTAGGGAGCATTGAGGAGTATTGATTAGGGAACCTTGGGTTACACACACCCCTTGAACCCCCCTCCGAAGCCCTAAACCCTAAACCCTAAACCCTAAACCCCTCCCGTAAGGACCCTAGAATATGACATGACTGTAAAAAAGCAGGCCGCCAGAGCTCCGCGGGAACGCCGCCGAAGCGTGGGAAGGCCCGGTCGAAGGTCTTGCCACTGCGAACAGGGGGAAGAGAGTGCCTTGTGGAGCCATGCAGAGTCAGTAGCCCCAAACCCTAAACCCCAAATCCTAAACCCGAAACACCCTCAACCCCCTACACCCCCTCAACCCCCTACACCCCCTAAACCCCCTAAACCCCCTACACCCTAAACCCTAAACCCTAAACCCTAAACCCTAAACCCTAAACCCTAAACCCTAAACCAACCTGACCCCTTGGTTGGCCTTTTGTGGGCCCCATTGGCGAAGCTCAGCCCAGCACGTCTCCCCCTCCCCCCCCAGGAGGCGAGGCCGACATCTGCACCGGTTGTAGCTGAGGCATCCTGGGCCGCGAGGGTTTGGGGTTTTAGGGTTTAGGCTTTAGGGTCTAGGGTTTAGGGTTTAGGGTTTAGGGTTTAGGGTTTAGGGTTTAGGGTTAGGGTTTAGGGTTTAGGGTTTAGGGGCAAGCCGAAACCTTAGCGGCAAGTGCTACAGTGCTGTTACAGCTGCATGGACGAACTGCTGTCTAAACCCTCAACGGAGAAGTCAGAGCCCTGTTCGCATTTTGGGCACCTTTTGGGGCCGCGTGCTAGTCGAAAGCCTTAGCCTTGTTACTAGTAGTACTTGTACTTTTCTCAAGCTCATCCCATAACCTCAAAGCCCTGAACCTCAAATGTATAATATTAAGTAGTACCACGTAGTCATATAGAATGGTACATCCTAGTGTTTAATGATATGTAACCGCATCTTCTAAGACATAACAAATGCATCGAGGACTCTTCTCCGCGCTGATTCATCTTGGGACAGGGGAAGAAACAGGAGCAGAGCAGTCGGTGAACTGTTTGGGGAGTTTTGGGTTGTTGCTTCCGGCACTTTGGTGTTCTGCTACAGGTGTTTGAGCCGAACCAATCACCTGCACATCTTTCGGCTTTGAAATTCAATCCCCGCTTCCAGTCACTCTAAAGGCCCCCAAAAACCTTGCACATGGATAGCAACGAACGGGATTCTTCATGATTCTTCGGACTTGGGACAATCTCTGGCCTTTTGAGCAGAAGCGCGTCTGGCCATACTCTCGAGCGGGAATTCGCAAAGGTCGTCGAGCCCATTCCGCGCGCTCCAGCTTTGACACCCCGCTCCAGGCCCCTACGTTTTGAGAGGGTTGGCTTAGGCGTATGGAGACGGTGCAAGTGTAAGGATAATCTGCTGTTTGTGGATGAAGGCATGATTCTGCAAGCAAAGGCAGAAACTGGAGCCCAAACGCACAGTCTGGTTCTGGATAGGACCCATCAGAAACCGAGCTCCCAGCGCATCATCAACTTTCCACAGCAGTTCCGCAAGTTGCAACCCTGTAGAGCTTGCTGTGCGGAGGCTGCGTCGCATGGGGCACCTTGGTACCAGAACAGTCCGTGTTGTTCAGGGGTGTAGCAAGGCACTTCACCAACAGAATGGCTGCCATTACGAAGGCCAGCAAATCAAGGGGAAGTTTTCCACAATCACACAGAAGCCTACAACAACTCAAGAGCATGACCTTTGTTGAAGCAGCAGTAAACGGTGAACAACCCCCACAGGGTCACGACATTCCCCTAAAACCCTAAACCTGAACCCTAACCTAACCGTACTGATTCCACTTCCCCACCAGCCACCCTCCGCCATCTTTGAGTGGCTGCCTCCACTATGTGTGCAGTTCTCTAAAGCATGGCCTCTCTGTTTGGGGACCCTGAATCTAGGCATAGTGCATAGTGCTCCGTATTTTAAGGGGCCACCCAAAGGGACAATAACCCTAAACCCTGAACCTAACCAACCCGTATGATGGTGCAGCGTCGCCCAGTCCCCCCTCCACCCCACCCCTTAGGGTTCAGGGCCAGGGATTCAGGGTTCGGGGTTTAGAGTTTAGGGTTTCGGATTTGGGGTTAGGGCGGGGGGGGGATACCATGGTGGGGAGGGGGGGGGGGGGCCTATTGCAACGGTGGCACTGAATGGGAGTTTTGCGTATGCGCAATGGCACTGAAAATTCAAGGGCTTGGGGCTCAGGGCTTAGGAGGTTTAGGGTCTAGGGTTTGGGGTTTGGGTTTGGGGTCTGGAGTTTAGGCCGGCTTAGGGTTTAGAATCTCGCAGGCGGCCCGCGACGCCAGCTCGCGGGCGGAAAAGGCAAGATTGCATCCACATGGCCTACGCCGCCTGGCCTGCAATGTAACATTTGAGCCCTGGAGGAGGCGCTTGAGGATAATGAATAATGAAGCTAGAGGCATCGTTTGCGATTGCTTTGGGGTTTGATGGATACAGAGCTTGGATTCGTGCACCGCAGGATTGAGAGGTCCAGAGACAGAAACGCGCATCCATACAGCACACCCCGATGATGCACTTTGCCAGCAGTCACGTGCCCTTGGTATCCGAAAATACGAAGCCGCTGTGGGTCTTCGCGACATGCCTGAAGCTCGACAGACTCGATCCAGTTTCTCTCCCCAGAACTGCCCAGAACCTTCTCTTCGAAGTTTGTTTGCTTCGGTTGGGCGCCGACAGTATCGCCGGTTTTGATGCTCGTCAGAGTTGAATTGGCCACAAGCTTTCCCAGCCCTCTTCCGTCAGCTGAGTAGGCTTTCTAGGCTCCTGGAATGCTGCCAACGAACGAAACGTAATTTTTGTCTTGCCATTCCCTGTCCGAGATCGTCCATCGACCGTCCTCTGCTGGAGCTGCCAACGTTTCGCATCTCTAGCAACTGCGGCCCATCGTGTACAGCCCGGGAAGCCTCAGCAGCCGGATCGTCGAGAAATGGGTTCCTTCATGCCACGCCTTAGATCCTTCCTGGTCCTACGTCGGATGTTTCTTCTTGGACATTGGTAATCAATTTGAAGTTTATAAAACAAGCAAAACTAGAAGTAAGGGCCCTATGTTGGAATCTTCATATCATACCTTAGGGTAGAAGTTCCTAACAAAGTGTAGTCAGAGTCGAATCTAATCTTGTATGTCAACAGATGGACTGTCAGTACCAATTGAGCCCGCCATGGTTTAAATCACATAAACATTATCTGCAGCATTCCTTCCATGAGTTTCCACGAGGCTCGCTGAAGCATCCGGCGTTACTTTCTTGCTTTCTCTTGATGACGGCTCAAGGCGCCTGAGAACGATTGCAAGGCGCAATTAGAGTGACTTCTCCTGCCCGCCTGAAATCCAAGCACCCATGGCACTTGCTGGGTCTCGGGTTGCCATGGCCATGCTGCTGGGAACTGTGGCCGTCAGGGGTTCTCGAGAGTGTCCTTCTGAGGCCCCATGCTTTTGGTGGTATGAAGGCCCCCAGTCCTTGGACAAGTTCGACCTTTGGGCGTCGGCGAAGTACGGGAACATGCTTGCTTACGGTGGCATGGTTGCTTGCCACTGGGACGCAACTAACCGGTGCTGCAGGCAAGATGGAGTTCCAAGCCCACCCTTTGCACTTTCGGATGGAGAAGGCTTTGCAACCTGCCACAATGACATCATCTATCGTGACGACGGCAGCTTCAAGTACTGTGGGGATAGTGACTTTTCTTCCGCGGTGCTGCCAGTCAGCTGTGGCACAAGGACCACCGAAACAACTTCCACCACGACGACGGTTCTAGCAGACTGGCTGCCAGTGACTGTATGGGAGAATCAAGCCTGCAGCGGGTCCAATGATGACTTTCTGGTCAGTGTTGCTCCTGGACTGGAGGCCTGCAAAGCGCGGTGCGTTGCCATGTCGCCCTTCTGCAAGGGTGTTGAATACACCTCGGCCACCAAACGATGTGAGCTCTGGACGCCACATGAAGGCATCCAAAGAACCTATGGTGCAGCAGGCACCGTTTGCCTCAAGCATCTTACTTCCTTTGGTGGAACTTTAACTTTTTCGGTTTCCTTATGTAGTAGGAATGTTAAAGTTTAACCTTCTTTTCCCCTTGGTTATTGGAGAAGTAAGGTACACCCTTGCACCCGTCTTCTCGCCCTTGGAAGGAGGGATCGACCGCGCATGCCGAGGGGCAACGCCGACGGACAATCCGCCTGAGAACTACATTGTTGTTGAGGCGTCCTCGTTGCAAGAGTGCCAGGAGACATGTGCCAAGTGGCAGGGGTGCAAAGGTGTGGAGTACAACTTCTACACGCGATGTGAGATTTGGACACGTGCCCAAGGCATCCAGGCTGTCCAGTATGTTCCAGGCCACACATGCATGAACTACACGGATGGAGGTTGGACGCAGTCTGGCATGAAGTCCTTTCAGCCTCCTCTCTATCCATGAGCTAAACGTTTTTGGGGGCAGACTGGAAAAGGCGATGCTGATCTTTTCCAGCAACTAGCAGCAATTGCAGGCGAGCAAGGCAGAACTGCGGTGGGGAAGCATCAGGAGTAGCAACAGCAGTCCTCGTCGAGTAGCAGTTGTAGGAGGGAGAAACCAGCGTTTTTGGCTTGCATGCTTAGAGCAACACGGTCGTAACCATCCGCTCCAGCCAAGCACATTCTCGGAATTGCAAAACGGAAGGGTAAGAAGCAAAAGACTGATCTCGAGGCTTTTGTTGAAAATTGGCAAAACCTATGAGGTTTGAAGGGGGTAGGAAAGCGTAGCATCAATTAGGAGACAACCCCCGAGTAGTAGTAGTAAAAGCAGCTGGTGTTGTACTAGCAGTGGCAGTCGGAGTAGCAGCACGACTCACTTGATGGAAGGACTCCTAGCAACAAGACAACCCAAGAGGTCAGCAGAGGCCAACACAGGTTGCCCTTCAGTCCACAACCGCAAGCGGTCGCCAATTGAACAGCTTGCTGGAGCCTTGAAGGCCCAGTAATACAGGACAGCTGTTTTGCAGGGGAGTGCGGCGGTGAATGCCTGATGTTTTGAAGCACGCTGGTTTCTCCTTTCCGCTCGAGCACTGTTACTAAGACTGGACGATGCGCACATATATTGCAGAATCCTGAAACCGTTTCCACCTGACAACCCGTACGCAATCTTGTCATATACTGCCCAAATGCCCAACAGGCTAGCTGTCTTTGACCGTGGATCTTGCTTACTTGTAGGCGGAAAGGAATAGAACGCATTGATCAGTGCCGTGATGGTTTGGAGTACACGCCTCTATTCTCTGGCGTTACTGATCGCGGTAGCGTGCTAATGGTCCTTGTTTTGAAGCGACATGAATGGCGAGGTTTCAAAATATGACACTTTTGATATCTATATCAATATTTCCCTGGAAGAAAAATTTTTCTTCAATAATTTTTATCGGTGAAAAATATCGATATATCCGAATAAATTCATTTAAATTATTTTGGATTTGGATTGATGATGGTCATGGAATCGTTTTCAAATGTCTTGGAATACGAACTCCAATATTCGATATAAAAGTATATATCTTGAATTTTAAAATTATAATGATATATTTTTATTCGTAAGTTTTTATTCGATTATATAGTATAATAGTGTTTCGATTCGTCTGGACTTTGAGATACGCCGGAAATTGGGGGTGGCGAGGGAGTTTTAATGTGTCGCTGGGCTTCGATTTCTTGATGTTTTGAGGCAATTGATTACCGAATTTGGTATAGGAGACTTCTGTTGCCAAAAATTGCTTTTTGAGATTTCTATCGAAAAAATCTTTGATATAGATATTTAAAAAAAAGGAAGATATGGATCAATATATTGATTTCATTTCAATATTTTCTTCAATATTTTCTTTCCATAAAAATTCATAATATCGTTCTTATTTGGCAGGCTCTAATGAGACGAATGATGATTGGGCAAATATATCTACCACCATTTTTAATTAAAGGAAGATATCTCTGAAGAAAGGAAAATAATATGAAGATGAAGATATTCCGAATATATTTGAAAATGGAATATTCCAGAAATTCAAGATTTTTTTCAGATTCAATAGATAGCTCTCAAATATATTCTTTTTCAATATATCTATATTCTAAAAGGTATATTATTCAAGAAATAATCAATAAGAATGAAATATTTCTATCATATATAATGATGCAAGAGATTTCTATTCTCTAAAATATCAATTAATCTTGATTCATGATCCAATATTAAATCGGAGAGAGAGAGAGAGAGGAGATATTCATTCGAATAATACTATAATATAGAAATCAATGGATGTTAGAAGAGAAGCTAAAGATAATCAAGAAATCCAAGAATAAATGATCTTAGATCCTATGGTAATTGAGAAGGTCATCTCCCTCCCGAATGATCATTGGGAAAGATAGATCATCCATAAATATCCATATTTCATCCCGAGGATTTCTTTTATAGATGACGAAAAGGAATCATATAATATAGATTTCCCAAAGATGAAATAAATTTCCATATCATGAGCCTCTTGATAGAGAAGGGAGATCTTGTTATTCAGATATTGGAAATTCCGAATTGCGGGCAGATTCCCTAAATGAAAGAATTTTATGAAAAATCGTGTATTTTGATATATTGATCCCAATATTGGAGCAAATATAGAATCGTCATATATCTTTCCACCTTCTATAGAAGGTAATGGGGGTTCTGATAATTATAATTCCTTGCTCGGATCTCCCCATACCACTTCTTGGATGGATTATTCATTTGGTATGATGATAGGATCCATCAGATCTTTGGGACAAAATTGGGATATATGATTCCAATTGAGTCGTGGATCCAGATGTGTCTCCATCCGAAGCATGAGGGGCTCGGATTGATCCTAGAATCGTTTCGTATAGGGAATCACGAATATCATCGAATTGATATTACGTTCATTGTAGTCTCTCGATTTTTATCTGAATTATATATCAATTGATCATTCCTCATCCTAAATTATTCTGATTTGGGGTGGATAATTGCCTCGTAATGTTTGGAAGCCCTGGATCCTATATGGAAGGACAAATGATAATAAATTGATAGGAATTGATTATATAAGCAATGGAGGCATCACGAAGGGCATTTCTCGATATCTTATCTTCCTTGGAATTCAAGAATTCAATGAAATACGACGAGAGTTGAATCGATGGGTGGGGGGGGCATAATCTTCCGAATCTTCTGGACGCAAGAGGTTTCTGTTTCCAAAAGCGCCAATTAAGAAAAGAGACATAATATTAAGAGAGTGCGACGTCTTCTGCGTCCGGGCACCCCAGAAACAAAAACGAGATCAAACAACCAAGATTTCGTGCTCTCCAAGACACCTCGACGTGCACAAAAATCCGAAACCACCCCCAATTAAAGAGGCGTCCCAGAAAGACGAAAAATAGAAGAAGACAACGAAGGTTCCATAAAGTGAAACATAATAAGGGTGAAAATCAAATTATATACAAAGCATCACGCTTCCGTCGCCTCGCCACGCAAGCGCCCGCGTATGTCGGCCGAAGGCAGCATCTGGCGGAGCCTGCGGTGGGACACGCCTGGCAATACGATGAAAGTACGGACGACTCAAAAATTCAAAGAAGATCCCATCGACATAATCAAGAATTGAAAAAATTCAGATATCGGCCTGCATCCTCATTGCCAGATTTCGCCTGTGCTCTACGATACTTCATGAGGGTTTGCCCGATATGTCGCTGTAATAAGAAAGCAACTCGAGTCTGCAAAAGACGTCGACAACTACCCGGTCGACGGTGCTGCACGCCGTCGTGATCCTGGCACAAGTCATTAAGGAAGGATGCCGTTTCAGGATCACAACCTCCCAGCATTTCAAAGATGATAGGTTGGAAGCCAATTTTTTTTGTGTTGCGCATTGTCGTGCAGTGTCCTGTGCCCGGCGTTTGTGCTCTGCGTAAGCCTTTGCAGTAGCAGCTGGCCCCTCGGTCGCTCGAGCGGGAGCCGAAATGGCAAAAGGACATACGACGGCACAATCGAGGGCCAAATTTGAATACCTACGCCATGAGGTCTGTTTCAACAAATTCGTTGTTGGCAGTAACACGTCCGCTGGGCGTCGTTGCGGCGCGTCCGGCAACAACCCCGAAGCTTCGAGTTGCGGTCGTAAATTGGCCTCATAATCTTCCGATTCTTATATTCGAGATTTATTTTATCAATATCTATATTTTCTCTTTTTTCTGGACGATTTGATCTTCAAATATTTTGAGGAAGATGAAGATTCCGAATTAATCCTCAAATTTCGGATAATTGGGATCATCATTATTTCATTTGCCCAATGATCGATAAAAAATCTCTTCAGAAGGGAATTCGAGACGAGATCTATCGAGGTCGTTCTGATGGGAATATTGAATTGAAATTGAAATTAATTGGCCTATTGTCAGCGACACCCGAATTTCGATCTATTGATATCCTCATTCATTTTATCGATTCCTTTTTTCGATAATCTTCATGGAATTTCCTGCCTCATATTATTCTTGATTTTACGATAATCTCTCAATTCATAATTGATGATATCGAATCGAATATGGCAGGATATATCGAATAAAAATATATGAACCGAGAAATCCAGCAACGTTGAAGTGAATAGGAGATAGATTTTGATTCGATTGTGAACGATTATATCGACGAATTGAAGATAGAGGAATGATATAGTGCTATTTGATTCCTTATAAGATTATAGATGAGTCCCTCGGGAGGTCGCCCGGTCAAACGCTTTATTTATCACAGGAGCGTATTTCTATATTATTGCAATATCATGAATATATTTGCTTTGAGCGCCATCGTATTATTCATTGCCGGGAGCCCGAGAAATTTGCAGAGAATTTTGCGCTTATTTGATATTGATTTTCATTTATCACGATTTTCTCGATATAAGCGTTTTGAGAAGGAATATATAGATCGAATTCCAGAATAATATGAATATTAGAATCATTAGGATTTCTTTTTCAATTATCCAAATTGATATGATATTCTATTTTCCTCTACGTTTCTTTGGCTCCATTTTCTCTGGATCTAGTTCGGGGCGGAGGGGGACGTTATTAGCGAATTTGGTTATTTCCCCGAGTGTGGAGTTTTCAATGGCAAAGTCTTATGCTAAACGAAAATTCGATTTGAAAGCTTGGGGGAAATAATACGAAGCCATGAATATGGGATATGAATCGATCATATTCGATATCATGGGAGACGATCGATACGAAATATAGATTATTGAAAGATTATATCCAATTCATTTTAAAAACTCGAATCCCGATTGATTTGCAGAGGGATTACGTCTTATATTTCAGAAGTAATACCGACATATATATAGATTTGTGGGGATAATCTAGCAAATGATATTCATGATAATCTTTATAGATCGTGATGGCGAGGATATATTGAATATATTTTTGAGAATATACGTTCCTGATTACGATATG